GCTTTGTTCAAATCTAACATTTACAAATTGTGGAGCCAGGCAACTGACTTCCTTTGTAACTGCCCATAAATCTGTTTGGAATTCTCTGAAACACCATCAAGAGAACCTGACTTAAGAATTAAGATATATGAAACTACTTTTGAAAATGATTGCTGTATTCTCCCACCCTAACATATATCACAAATTGGAGCGCACTGTGAAATACTGTATGCTCAATTATATGCTTCATTTATGAAATTTATTCTAGCGTGACTTTTCTAAAATTGAAGGTACTCAAAGCAATTTGCAACTATATTTATGCATTAACGTTGTTTTCCCGACATTTAATAATTAATCTAGTTCTTCCATCCATCATCTGTCTGTACCAAAAACAGGGGTGAACAAAAGCCACACTATTATTTGAGGATAAAAGGGCTGAGATTTCTGAGGGATCGAGGTCTGGGTTTGTTTTCTTAAAAGTAAAATGCTTAATTTAGATATTTATTTGTATTGTTACTTTCATCTCAAGTGCTGGGAAACAAGTGCAATCAGTTTTCTGCATTTATGTAGAGAGGGCCTTGGGACTGCAGATATCTTACCCATCCAGGATTTAGATGCTGCATGTTCATAAAAGTGATGTAGATTCCTAGAGATTTATACTAGACTGGCACATCTAATTGCAAACTGACTTTTGCAGATGAGCTATTTCATTGGATGCCAGGAAACATGCTACTGAAAAATTCAAGTTTGATCCAAGACAAATCTGACAGATTTGTCTACATTCTTACTCCATCTCATCACTGCTCACAATGAAATCATCATCCATATTTTAGGGAATTAGAATATTTTTCCTTTTTTATATTCAGTATTCCTCCAATTCCTTCCAATCCTCACACAAAGATTAGAATTAAGTGTTGAAAGAATCTATATACTACTAAAACTCTTGTTCTGTTTATTTGTTTCTACCCTCTGTTTCTACCCTCATGTTAGCCCAAACGTTTTGAATCAAGATATTTAAAACTTAAAAGTGTGTGTGTGTGTGTGTGTGTGTGTGTGTGTGTGTATGCACACACACACACACACACACACACACATCTATAAAATGTAGAACTGTTCTAGATAACTTTTTGTTAAATTCCATTCTTATAATTTGGTCTTTTCCATTTATAGAGATTTTTACATTTTATATTGTTTTATTTATCATTAAAGATTATATCACCAAAATCCATAGTTATTACCTAATCTATAGTTAGAAAAAAGCACAGGGGTGTAGGAGGACAGTTAAGGAAATTAATTAAATTACAGATTTTGTGGACAGAGATAAACCAGCCATCAGATATTTCCAGGATGAGACCAAATCCTGCAGTTTTTTAACTGCAGTTTTCTCGCTGCAATAACAATCTTACAGAATTTGGTGATCTTCTTGAATATTTCTGTTCAACTGTTATTTAACTAAAACAAAGCATTCTTCACATCGGATCAGCCCATCTGGGAAGTCTTTAATAGTACTATTAATTCAGAATGCCATGCTCCATAAAAAGAACAGCACAATAGATTGTGTAAAACTGTCTCGATTGCTCCGTCTGTTGTGGCCATGTATGGTTGAACCTTCTCTTCAGGACTATTAATGGCAAAGCATTGAGCCCGGCTAATGAAAACACTCTTCTGTATGGGACAAAAAGGCTATTATAAAAGTAATTAAGTAAGGAGAAAGGTTTACCACTGAAGACATAATTATAGTAGTAAGGGTCTTTGCTTCTATCTCTAGAATTTCAGGCAAAGAATGCACTATTTAATCTCAAAAATTAAAAAAAATAGGGCCCTGTCTTGTCAAAAATATTATGACAGGCCATAATAATTCAGGTACAAGATTGTGGTTTTCTTCACACACACAAAAAGGTAAAGCTATATGGATCAAAGAATCATCTTAAACTCAAGGGGGCAAAATATTTGCAAATATTGAATTAAGGCACTGGAAGGCCTATATGCTTGAATTGTTTTCATCTTTTGTTTCTTTCTTTGAAAAATGAATAATAGGAATAAAACTTCTAAATATTTAAAATCTTTGACTTTGCTCAAGTAGGCATTTATTTTCAGTTATGAAGGGAAATACTGTATAAATGACTGAATTATAAATGAAAGGTGTACTGTGAGTTTTGAAATGAAAGATAAGGTATACATTTATAAATGTATAATGCAAAAAACACTTGTCCTGCAAAGTGAAGCTAGGGATTTCCTACCAAGTCCACATTTGACAGCAAATCCTATTTTACACAGAAAATGGGATTGCTTTGCCTTCATCTGAAGTATATGCTAAGCTATATATACATCTTGCTTGCTTCCATAAAATTGGTCAATAGGGCACAGAGTTCCTTGTAGGATAATGTGAAGTATATAGCTGCCTTTGATCTTAGCATTACATTATACCAGTCAAAGGTACCAATGGTATATTCTAATTAAGTCTGCTATTGGTAGGCTGCCAACTATCTCCTTGTATACCTTATGTAGCATCCTCAGAAAGCTAAAAGAAGTGTTTGACTTCAAGCACTGGAAAATGGTTACAGTAGTAACTAGAGATTGTCTTGCAGGCTCACTTTCCAACTTCTGTTCTTAGTCTTGGCAGGATGAGGTGTTGATGGCAGGTGCTGGATTTGCTATAAATGGACAATTTATAAACAGAGCTGACAACTGGGAAAACAGTGTATGTGTGTTGGGGAGGAAGGGGGGGCATAATACTAGCATTTCAGACACTGATATTTGATTTCATATCAAATGGCCGTCAGCACGGAATATTGGGCTACTGTTCTGAAAGGGAACATTTGGCTTAGATCTAAATAAATTCTGCTCAGATTATAGTATTGTTAGGGTTAGAGATTTTCAACAGGCCATTAATGTTATTTAAGTTCACATGGCTGGCTTTCCTTCTCATGTTTTTTATGGCTTCATTGAGTTAATAGTCATCTCAAACATGTGAATTCAACAGAACAGTTTTTGCAAGATCACAGCACTCAAATATCATTTTGAGCTTACAGTTTCCTATATAATTGGATTTGTTGCAAACTTTCTCCATCAGTTGGTTGCTTTCATTGGAGAAGTTGCCTTGCATTCAAAGGCATTTGAAAGTGATGTCATCAAGTATGAAGTTTCAAGAGTCAAATTCAGAGAAGAGTCAAATTTTGTACAAGAGATACTTTTGAATTCAAGGGGCAACTATATAGGCAAACAGAAAGCAAATCTCACTGCATCAGTAGGACAAACAGTAATATATTTGCTTTGTTTTGAATCAAAAAGCTTCTAAAACAGAATTGTTTTTATCTGGGTATCATTTCTCCCATCATAATGTCGATTAGTCTTGAAAGATGACAAATAGAGTGATAATATTGATTCCTGATTCAAAATGTTAATGCAATATAAAATGTGATTTGCACAGAATCATAACTATCTATTGAACCACATTTTGGACTTCCTGCAAAGTGAAAAAAATTGAGGGAAAAAAATATTTTGATTAGTGTAATTAAAAAAAGAGTTATTCACATTTCTAAATTGCTATTTTATTTAAGGCACCAGGTTTTTTTCCTCCAATGAAATGTTTTATTTTAAAAGTTTGATAACATTTTAAAGAAGGATTCTGCATTTTCCTGTTCATTTATCCATTTGTTAAAAAAAAAAAACTGGGATACTCAACAGCCATCTCAAAAACTAGTTCAACAAGAGAACTAGAAGAGCATAGAATGGAAGAAATATACATAGCAGAATTGTTTCTCATGCCTAAAATGATTTATTGATATCCCAGCTACTGATAAAACTCCTCCTACCAGGTTCTCAATATTTGTAATTTATACTTCTTAGACAGGAGGAATATTTGAAGTTTGGATGTTATGGGCATTACCTCAATATCACTGTGGGGGAGATGATTTGTACATTCCCCAGATGATAGACTGCTGAGATTTTCCCATTATTCTGGGGATGTTGTCCAGAATATTCCCTTCCACTTCAGCTCATACTTCTCATTTTAACTGGGCAAGACAGCACATTTGCAAACAATTCACTCATTTTTAGCCAGCTTCCTTTTCTATTTTCTAAGAAAGCCCACAGGATTTTTGTAATATGTTTACTTCCTATATCATTTTTTGAAATTAAAAGAATCTAGAAAACTAAAATGAAAGCAGCAGTGGCCAGAACCTAGCAGACATCAAGGAAAGCATTCTTAGATGTTGTTGTACTCCTCATGGTAAAATTCCCTATATCTGACATAGAGTAATAGAGAAGGAAAGCAAAGAGGAAGATAAGGGATAGTAAGTTCTGCCTTTGATGTTCTAAAGCTGGAAGCCCAACTATCTATTGAATTTTATGACTAAGTATTGATTCAAATAGTAAAGCCTTATCATATTTCTCCAAAAAGCAAGTCTCCATGAGTTCAGCTGGATTTACATTCAAGCAAATGTAACTGGAGTTGTTCTTATTAAATAGTAACAAGAACTTTTCATTCTAATTTATGGTAGATCAGATCCCACAATCCAAAAGGACATCTAAAAGAGTAATACTTCAAATTTCCTAGAATTGATCAGAAGAGCAAATAATATATTAAGGTGCGAGAGAGGTCTAGAAAGGCTGTCATGATATTAAAACCACACTGGGCAAATTGAAATCATTTTCCCCCAACTGTATTCTTTATAATATATTTATGTTAGATTGAAAGCATTTATAATGTAACAGCTGTGCCTCCACAGGGTATGTTATGCTTAACATCCAGCTGAAAAAGTTTTGTGAAAAACACAAGCTTTGCTTATTTTTTCCCTATATTTTTCTTTTCTGTTAATCCATGTGATTATTTTATTTATCTTCCATTCTTAATCATATTAAGTTTTTGAAGATACTGTAAACCTCAGTGACATTTTCTTGATTTCCTTCAGGGATTTACCGAGAAGGGCATTTTTTTTGTCTATGGAGAAAACCTGGCATGTCTTTTCTACTGATCAAACCAAAAACAGAGTTGATGTTTTTTGTTTTGTTTTTTACAGAAGGAATTCCTCTGCAACTTGCTTTATTGAAACATCCAGAAGAAGTAACTCCAGTGAATCTACAAGAATTATAACATATATGGGCAGGTCAAGATCATGGAGCCACTTAATCAACCAAAAATAAACAAATAATCCTATGTGTTATAGATTCTTCAACTATCTTCTATCTTTGCATAAGTGAAACAAAGAGCAATGCCGATGTAGCCTTATCTTTTGCATTACTGGGACAGGGGAATGTTTCAAAAATAAGAATTTGACTAACAAATTGTAGTTTGGGTGACTTAATATAGCTCTACAGAAGTCTTGTAGTTTGATATTCAAACCCTTGATAGTCTTTTCTGGGGAAAATCTGCAGCCAATCAGCCCTGTTATATTATTTAGTTCAATATCTGAGTTCAGGAATATCCCCATAATTCCTTTTATGAGGAATACTCATGAAATATTCAATTCTATATAGGTCTAATGAGAAAGCAATCCCTCAGAATTCAGTGGATTTACATTTGCAGCCATGGAATAGAACCTCTGAAACTTCAACTGGTTTTCTTTAGATTTACTCCTGAATAAATGGGTAGTGGATACACTTGCCGAGGAGTAAGATTCATTCTGCATAATAGGTTTTATTTATGGGTAAGCACATATATCGTGACATTGTTAATGTGTCCCTTTCATCTGTGAGACTTTATGCGTGCAAGAGGTTTTTGTGCAGTCCTGCCTAGAACTCTACTGGGAGAGAATCCACTAAGCTGTCATTGATGAAATGACCGTGACATTTTTGAGTGGAAGACAGCTAGGTATATATAATTAAAAGGGCTGGTGAAGTGGTCTTTTCATATTAGCATGAATCAAATGGAAAATGGCACATGGAAACGAAGGCATGTCAACACCCATGAGCTCAGTGTATTAACTCAAGGTTAGATTTCAGTACACAGATTACTCCCAAAAATGGGAGTCAACGATTAATATGGCATTGTTTTATCTGACACATATGAATACACTCCTATATACTTCAAAGATGAATTTACAACAGTAATCTAAAGACTTGTTCACATACAGTAAAACCTCAACTTTAGAGACTCCCATTCAGCAGATTTCAAATGAAAATACAAGAATCAGAATTTTGATTTTGCTCCCCAAATAAGAGACTATGTCTCTTAATGGGAAGAAAGTCTGGATAATGATGGTTTCTGAAGATGGGTTAATTTTTTTTTCATGAACCAGACTGCATTTTATACTGCTAATGGCATGAGATGTGTAGGTATTTTTGTAAACATTTTATTTAGTCTACCATGCTTTCCAAAGGTAGTTAAAGGCTCCTGTGAGGTGGTTAGAGTGAAGCTGGAATGAAAAACTTCAGCTCAGCTTTTGACAGATAGCTATACCTACTGCTCTAAGCATCTGTCCAAATTCACCTCCTCCATCAACACAGTCCAAAACTAAGTGGGAAGAGTGATTGATGGGTGTTTTTTTTCCTCCTGGAAGACTATCTACCCATCATGGTATTGCAAAGAGAGCATCACTTGCAAGCTTGTTGATAAGCAAAAGGGAGATTTTTGGGGAATGGGGAAAGAACAAATTATGCTGCTATATTTGTGTGTAATCTCACAGACTGGAGAAAACTATATTAAACTTGTTGTCTGGATGTCTCCTTTGGAAGCAGCTGGGTGTGTGTGTGCATGGATAGGATGGTGAAAATAAAGACACTTTGATGATAAATAAATTAGCAACCACATTTTATAGCTTGCTCCCAATTAGTTTGTTCCCTCCAAATCTGAAATCACTAGATATAAAATATAGACTGTTAAGAGCAGGAAAAAGGTGATTGGGCAACTTGTCCCAGACAAATATATACAGTACATACAGATTTTGATTAATTTTTTAGCTCCAAAGCCATATTTACTGGTCCTCATATAGTTATCCATATAAAACATATTAAACACTTAGTTTACCTTAGTATTTTTAACTCTGTTTGAAAGCGAATTTTCCAAGATTTTGGCAGATTTCCAAGATTTTAGCTCCCTTTGGAGATAATGTCTGAGATAATTAGCTAGATAAATAGAAATTACATGTACATAGTTTATTATCATGGACCTGAAATTGGATGCTTATTGACTGAAAATTCACAAATCAGATAACATGAAGAATGTTTCATACAAGAAATATTTTTGTCCAAATTCACAAAGACATTTCTCTAAGTATCATAGAGTTGTTCTTCGTTAAAGGGATACTATTCAAACTTTTTCTACTTCTGCTAGGCAAATTGCACAGTGGAAACCATTATTCAATAATCTGTAGAAAGGGCTAGAAAATCATTCTGGCCGCATGTTTTCCTCCCTAGAATTCTAGCTAATATGTTTAATAACTGTTTCAAGAAGACAGGTAATATATTCCTTCTGAGAATTTTGTACCACACAGGCAAAATACACCAATTACTGCTTGGAAGTCCCTGAGAGAGCCTAGGATACTTTTTCAAGATAATAGCCTATAGATTAGCCACAGTTAATCAGACAATTTAATTAGAGGTTACCTTAAGTAGATTATGTATTTCAGTTTCATATAAATATATATTTACATACAATTGTCCTCTTCCTTTAAATACACACACATAAATGCAATCTTTGCACTTGAGCTCGCATTCAGTTTGGCCATGCTGAGAAGTCAAAAACAAAATTCTAGCAGGCAATGGGCTGACCACTTCTGTAATGCTGCAAAAAAAGGGGGGCCTGGATGCAGATGGCAGGAGTAAGCACTTCAATGAGGATTGAGCCACCTCCTCCCCATCCTGACAAATAATGCACTATTGCCCATATTTTTGATGTGCAACTCCTTTTATTTATTTATTTTTAAATTACAAGCCCCACTGTAAAATCATGAAATGTTGACTTCAAGCACACAAGTCATTCTCGTTCAGGTCATGGACATAAAACGTGAACACATTTATGTTAAATTCCTACCAAATTTCTGTATGGTGATTACATTTCTTTAGCACACTAGCACTGATGATGTTACCTAGTTTGGGTAGTGAAACATCTGCAAGAAAACAAGCAAGCTCAGAGAGCACCAAGGACCCACTACCTATTTTAATCTTGTTGAACCACCTTAGTCTTTTCATATCAGCTATCAGTGAAACAAAAGTCCACTTTGTTGAAATAAACTATATGACAAAACACACATTTACAGTTAACCAACTCCCTGTGCTTCACAAATCACTTCTTGAAAATAGCATGCAGATAGAACTATAGCAGCCAGTCAAATGCAAAAGGGTCATGTGAATCTGCCCCCAAAGCCTATAATTTCTGATAGATACAATGTTTGGAAAGAAAAGCACACATTCCTTCCTATGAAGGATGAGCATGACATCTCTTCTTTCATTCCCATAACTCTTATCTCTACCTGAAAGTGGGAAAAATGCAACTCATAGTAGCACTGCCAAGCATGTTATCTTTGGCACCACCAATTTGGCAACCATTCTTTGAAGATAATCACAGAGTTTTGTAACTCCCTGACCCCTCCCTGGATCTTCTGTGCAAAAGGGATTTAAATTAAACCTCAATCTTCTTCTTCATTGTTTTTTCCACAGAAGAATTACTGTAGTTCAAAATTCAAGATGTGATAAATGACTGCTATTACTTAGAAAAATAAGGCCTAAAATAAGCTAATAGGAAAGTACCTCAACTTAACCTTGAGGCTTGGTGCAAGATATATAGGATTATTGAATCACATAACAACTCTGAAACATGGTTGGAAGGGAATAGAAGCTATGGATTAACATTATTACCTTGCCATTTTGCTACCAAAACATGCATATTTACTCCCAAATGGATGACAATATAGGTTGTTCGGGCCAAAATCAGGACATAATAGAAATTTATAAAATTATGCAGGGAGAAAAAAAATTGTAACAGAAGAGTGAGTACTTGTTATACAGTCTGACAAGTGGATAAATATAATTTCAGAGCAAGAGGAGTTATGCCAGCAGGAGAACTTGGGGAATGTGAATTGTCTACCAGAGGCCTTTGTAGGAAACATATTATATAGAACTGGTAGATTGGGGAAAGTTTGCTGTTCCCTTGACTGATCCCGAGAAAACTAAGGTATCAATATTAAGGCTAGTTCTTAGAGATAGATTTGTTTAAAATGCAGTTTTCAAATCTCCTTCTTCTACATGCATCCACACACAGCAAACAGCTGGTTAACTTCCTATTCTAATCTTTCAATGCTCCCAATGCACCAGGGGAAAAGTAAAAAAAAACATGCATGGGGTTGAAGTCCCACCCCTTCCTTATATGTGTTGTACACACCTAGGAAAAAAAGGTGGGGCTTTGGTTGTGCAGTTAGGGCCATCATAGAGATGATTTTAATCCCTACATCCCACATGGACGCTTTTGAGCCCTACCAGGTTTTAATTCCCAAATGCTGTTTCTGTATCAGAAATTCCTCAGGGATAATAGTTTGAATTCAGCATACAGCATACTATTTACCTAAAGCATGCTGAATTCACATTATTCTATTTAATACACAGTCCTTATGACAATAATGGCATAAAGCTATTTACCTATAATTAGAACAAACACCAAAATGGCTGATGGGACTTATTCTAAAAGTATATAATAGACTGTACCTTAAAACTTGTTGATTTATTTATTTGATTTACAGTTATACATTGGTACTCAACTGTTTTGAAACTCATTGAATTTGATACTCAATGCATTTTGATGCAAAAATTTTGTCCTAGTAATCATTGGTTTGGTACTCAATGCACAAGCTAGAACTTATCAGTGTCAGCTGCCTCGTGACTCACTACATTATTCCTCATAGGAAACATTTGTTCGGTGCTCATTATTTTTGGTACTAATCATGCCTCCTGGTACCAATTAATGAGTACTGAGAAGTGGTGGGATTCAATTTTTTTTTTTACTACCGGTTCTGTGGGCGTGGCTTGGTGGGTGTGGCAGGGGAAGGATACTGTAAAATCTCCAGTCGGAGGTGGAATTTGCCAGTTCTCCGAACTACTCAAAATTTCCGCTACTGATTCTCCAGAACTGGTCAGAACCTGCTGAATACCACCTCTGGTACTGAGGTACCCCTGTATGTGGTTGCTCTTCTTGCCATAA